TGTATAAGTATTTAAAGAGCAAACCATTTTCACCTCCTTCTCCAGCATGAGTCCCTCGGCTCGTAAATTCTTCTCGAATGTGCACCTCTTCTCCACCTGCGGGCTGGACTTCTTGTAAACCAAGATGTAATCAATTCTCTTCTTTCCATCTCGGAAAAATAGTCCAGACGAGTCAGATCGATTCTTCTCCTGTGGGAATTTCAAATGAACCTTTTTAAGTGAGTTTTTGCCACATTTTTCTTTTAGGAAACTTGCGACTTGTACTGTAAATATTGTACCTGAAGGGATTCTGCGCGTGTGCCTAATTTAACCCGGCTGACAGGTTTTTTCAGCAGAAAGGACGGGTCTGCTCTCGTCTCATACGTGCTCACTTCAGTCTCCTCGACATAGTTATCCTTCACATCTTCTGCTGCAAAGAGACAAAGCACAATCAATGAGGCTACTGTCGAACCGGTGAGACGTATCCTGTTTACTTTAGATCTTTGTTGTTGTTCCAATCAATAGTTGCCATAATCTGTCAGCCAACACTGAAATTAGATCTGAGCTAAATAAAAAAACTTATTTTAGTGTGGGTGTCAGCCATGCAGCAACAGCTTGATGTAATTTAAAAGATCAATGCACCAATGATGATGGAGCACAAATCCTATTTTCTGCCTTTCTGGATCTCAAAGGTGACACACTGTAAAAAATATCACTTCATTTAAACGTGAAGTGATACATCTGGATGTCTGAAGAAGGCGGCTCCTGCAGAACTATTAGTGGGGCGGACATTAATTTCCTGAAACTGCACACATTTTACAAATTGTGTTACATTTTCTGTGATAAAACTAAGATAAATGTTGCTTCATATTTAATTTGTTGTTGTCTTATTTGTTTTAGTTTGTTTTAGTGCACAGACTTGTCGCCGTTTTTCTTCCTCCCGCAGGTCGAGGTTGTGTGTCATGAAAAACACTCCCACCAGAGAAACGGACACCTCCCACTCCCACATCCACCCCCACCTGAAACGAGGACAATTTGACCCTTTCGGTGCATGACTAAATTAATGAACACAATGCAACTGTCTGACACATGAGAGATAGCGGATTGCCAAACGCAAAATAAAATTTGTTTGGATCTGTGAACTTATTTTAAATTTTATAAAATAAAATATAAAAATGAAGAAATGATATCATCCTCGATGCAAATAGCTGTTTCAACCAGGGATCGAACCCACAACCTTCTAATCACAATACCAATGCTTCAACCATAGATCATCGGGTAGTGGTGGCCCAGAGGTTAGAGAAAGTGGGCCTGTAATCGGAAGGTCGCCAGTTCAACTCCCCAGACCAACAACATCAAAATATGGGTGGGAAAGATGAAACATCCACACCTGCCTCCACTTTCATCTGCCCCACTCTGGGCCCTTGAGCAAGGCCCTTAACCCCCAACATCTGCTCCCAAAAACATCTCTCTTGAAAACGAGTCCTCAGGACTCAATGAGACCAACCTGTATAAACAAAGGTTAAATAAAATAATTGAAATAAAAATAGACCTATCACACACACCACAGGACTGGTTAAATAAGACCATGATGGTGAAAATGTCCCTCGTTTTGTTTCTCCTCCTCAATTTTATTTTCTCGTCCCCTCGGTCTGCTCCAAATGGATTTTAATAGAATAGCTCCACCACACAGAAGGTTTCGCTCTTCCTGCATTTGAGCTCACATCAGGTTAAGTTAGTGGTCGTATTAATGCGCTAAAACCAGCCGAATGTGTCCACAGGGCAGAAAATCTGACGCCCCAAATGAAATTCTATTGGAGTGGCTGTTCGGATCACTGGCGACATGATTCGATCCACTTTATGATCGCAAGTCAGTGAACAGACACCACTCATAACAGTAAATAAAAAAACTGAAAATTAATCCATAAAAATAATTTTAACTTCCATTTAAATTTGTCAAAATGGTTGAAAAATACACAGAACAAAAGAATATACAGCAAGCTCAGTAAATAATTTATGTTATTCATTAGGAGGAACTCCTTTGTGGGGCTCAGATACTGAAAGTTTCTTATTTTCTGTGTTAAGCTCAGAACAGGGAATGAGACAGCATAAATCTCATTATGTACAAACTCCAATTGCCTGACATGGAAAACAAACAAATTTACAGCTCAGAGCAAATTATATTTACTTCATTTCATGTGTGACAGGTTTCTCGTTTCTCCAATCAAGTGTGTTTGAAGTATCGCTCCAAGATCAGCTAAGTGAGACTTTCAGCAACGATGTGCAGAAACCGACTGTGGAAGCTGATGAATAAAAGGAACAACGTCACATTGCAAGCTTCATCCCAGTTTTCTATTCATGATCTGTGGTAATTTTACACACACATTTCCTGGTATTTATGTAAAAACTGATTTTAGATCACAACCAGCTCTAACTGACAAATTAATCTGAAATTACATTTCGAAGGATTTTCTACGACTCTTCAAAAAATGCCAAACATTATTTTTACCCACTTCTCACACCTAGGGACAATTTTTGAGTTATCAATCAGTCTAATATGCATGTTTATATGAGAGAAAACCCACACATGCACGGGAAGAACATAAAAACTTCACTATGAAAGGCCTCGGCCGGGGTTTGAACCGGCAACCGCTCTACCAACAGAACCATAATGTAATTTTAAATGCACTAATCCATTTACTTCAGCTAACATTTAACACAGTGAAAATGCAGTCTTGCTTAAACTGAGAGCAGTGGTGAGTGTTGTTTTTAACTGTGTAAAATTATTTCAAACTAAAAATCCAATTTTACATTTTGGTCTAAAAATAATGGAGTCACAATGTTCAGAAATGGTGTGCACTGTGGCAGCACGGTGGATCAGTTGGTAAAGCTGCTGCCTCTAAGCTAGAAGGTCGTTGTTTCAAATCCCAGCTGGGGACCTTTCTGGGTGCAGTGTGCATGTTCTTTCTGTGCATGCGTGGGTTTTCTCCAGGTATTCCAGTTTCCTTCCACAGAACAAAAACATGCATGTTAGACTGATTGGTAACTCTAAATTGTCCCTAGGTGTGAGTGAGAGAGTGAATGGTTGTTTGTCTCTATGTGTCCCTGTGATGGACTGGAGACCTGTCCAGGGTGTCCCCTGTCTCTTGCACAGTGACTACTGGACATGGGCACCAGTGACCCACAAAGGAAGCAGTAGGTAAAGATAATGATGGATGGACTGCATACTGCTTTTACATACTGCACTGTAGTTACGTTGATTTCATACGAGCCAGTTTGCAGTCTTAGATCATCATTAGAAGACTTAAAAACAATTCATACTGTTCTAAAAATTTAATAGGGGTTCTACCAACAGCACCCAGAACCTAAATGGTCAATTTTAACATTTTATTTCTTTATTTATTGATGCATTTTTTTTAAGGAACTGGGAAGCTTATTTGTAGAGCTGCCATTATCATGTAGGATACAGGTTAGATTAGTCAAATTAGGTCCACTGAAGTGCATCCCTCGTCCCTGACAGAGCCATGATGGAGTGTCGCTCCGCTGCACAGAGTTAGACGAAGCAATAAAACCAGAAAGTGCACACAAACAGAATTAATATTGTTGCACATTTCTACAGAGTTATGACTGTTGTTTGTGTATTAGAGTCCACAGAATGTAATTGCTGCTCTTTAATGAGTGGAATATTGACTCATTTAATCTAAACTTCCTCCTTAAATATTCAGGAGTTCAGTTAACTGCCAAGGTTTGTTTTGTGCTCCTCAGGTAATTGAGCTATGTGAAAAACAGAGTTAGAATATTTTCCAACTAAAATGACGATAACAACAAAGTCCATGCTCAATGACAAAACCTGCTATATTACTTGAATATTTGAGCAACAATTAAACTTGAGGAAACAGAAACAAAAAACAAACTAATAAAAATAATAATTTGCAATATCCTGATTCAGGCTCAATAATCCAGGTAGAAAAATCCAAACAAGTTAAGTCAGGTCCTCTGGACGGATTATTTTTGTTGAAACGTTTCGTCTTTCATCCAAAACACTTCATCAGTCTGAGGAGCCACAACCTCTCTGTCTTTTTCCTGGCAGCTGCATTTCTAACATCCTTCTACCAATATACCCACTGTCCCTCCTCTGGACATGTCCACACATCTCAGTCTGGCCTCGCTAACTTTATCTCCCAGTTGTTCAACCTGTGCTGTACCTCTGATGATCTCATTCCTAATCTTACTCATCCTTGTCACTCCTAATGAGAACCTCAACATCTTCATTTTGGACACTTCCAGTTCTTTCTTCTGTCTTTTTGTCATTACCACTGTCTCCAGACCATACAACATAGCTGGTCTCACAACTGTCTTGTAAACTTTTCCTTTGACCTTTGCTGACACCCTTTTGTCACAAATCACTCCTGAAACTTTTCTCCATCCTGCCTGGACTCTTTTTCACCTCTTTACCACAGTCTCCATTTTCCTGGACAGTGGACCCCAAGTACTTGAAGTCCTGCACCTTTGTGACCTCTGCTCCTTGTAGCCTCACTGTCCCACAAGCCTCCCTCTCATTCACACACATGTACTCTGTCTTACTACAGCTGACCTTCATTCCTCTTCTTTCAAGTGCACACCTCCACCTCTCCAAGTTCTCTCCCACCTGTTCCCTGTTCTCCCAACAGATCACAGTGTCATCTGCAAACATCATAGTCCACAGGGATTCCTGCCTGACCTCATCTGTTAGCCGGTCTATCACCAGAGCAAACAACAAGGGGCGCAGAGTCGATCCTTGATGCACTCCAACCTCTACCTTGAAGCTATCTGTCACTTCTACAGCACATCTCACCACTGTCCTGATGTCCTCATACATACCATACCATACAATACCACTTTATTTATAGAGCACTTAAAACAGCGACAAGGCCAACCAAAGTGCTGTACAGACAAAACAACAGGTAGCACACAAAGCAATATACAAAATGAGGTAAATCAGAATATAGACATAAAAACGATGCAGATAATGACAACAAACCAGTGTGGAGCATACAGGATCAAAAACACAGATCATCTGGTGTTGAAAGCCACAGAATAGTAGTGGGTTTTTAAACAGGCCTTGAAAACCGAGAGGGAGAGGGCCTGTTTGACAAGCAGAGGTAACTCGTTCCAAAGTCTTGGTCCTGCTACAGAGAAGGCCCTGTCACCTCTGCGCTTAAGACGAGTTCCTGGAACTGTGAGGAGCAACTGGTCCGCTGACCTCAGGGAACGCGGTGGGACATATGGTTGTAACAGATCAGAGAGATGGGGGGGGGGGGGGGGCGCGAAACTGTTCAGTGATTTGTAGACATACATGGGTATTTTGAACTGGATTCGAAAGTGAACCGGTAACCAGTGCAGTGAGGCCAAAACTGGTGTAATGTGCTCTCTTTTGCTTGTACTGGTTAAAAATCGGGCTGCTGCATTCTGGACCAGTTGTAGTTGTGCTATAGAGGTCTGACTGATACCAAACAGGAGTAAATTGCAGTAATCAAGCCTAGATATAATGAATGTATTACTGTCTCCAAGTTATTTTTGGATAATATGGGTTTCAGTTTAGACAGCCGCCTCAGTTGGAAGAAACATGATTGTTGTTTCAGGGAAGGGTCCATTATCATGCACAGATTAGTGACTCTTTGTTTTTCTGACAGGGTTAGAACGGAGAGGTCGATGCAGTGGTTTGTGATCGTGTCGTTGGGAGGGAACAACATGACTTCAGACTTCTTTTCATTGAAACTTAAGAAGTTTAAAGCCATCCAGTCCCTGATGTCAGCCAGGCAATCAAGCAGCGGTTGAATAGAGCATGTACCATTGTGTCTTAGGGGGAAGTAAATTTGACAGTCATCAGCATAGAAGTGGAAGGGCATGTTGTGTTTCCGGAAAATAGCACCAAGCGGCAGCAGGTATAAAGAGAATAGGAGGGGACCCAGGATGGACCCCTGTGGAACCCCCCATTTAAGCTCTGCCTCTGCGGAACTAAAATCCTTGATGGAGACAC